TGTTTTCTCCCTCCAATGGTCCCTTGAGTTGCACAGGTCAACAACATGTTTTCTCTAAAACCATCATGGCCATAAGGAAAGAGAAGCGCATATTACAACCCTAGAAAAGCTAGATTTAATTCAGAGATGTACTGTAAAGAACCAGACTTCGTTTGAAGAACAACATCCATCTCTCTTTGGTTCACATCAAAGTCGCCCTCTATTATGGCAGCTACTTCGCTTACAGTAGATGTATTGTACGTACGACCTTATGAGTTTATCTTGTTTGTTAGCTTCATTTTCAATGAAGTTGAATTAGATTCATTGAATCTATCTCTCGCTATCCTAAAAGACTGTGCATAAACATTTTACATGTCCAACATGTCTTTTAATTCAGCCACCAATGTAACATGTAATGAGGTACCATCGTCATGCCTATCAAATGCAAGTAAAAGCTAACTAACAAAGGGAATATAAGGAAAATATAACGCAAGTCGACATTATTGTTTTGAGGTGTGCTTAAAAAAATTCATAAGTGTGTAACTTATAACCTGACAGATGCAATTCTAAATGTGATCTCTTCGCTTGGGTCAAATAAGTACATTTGCAACAATTTTGCTTGATTCCCATTATTAAGAAGAAGACTACCAATTCTATGGTAATTTTGCTCATTAAATCTGAATATTGGTGATTTGTTCCCTCTATTGATCTCTTTATGAATTTTTCCACCCATGGAAGTGAAGGAAAACATATATTTATATGACATGATGTTTTCAAGGAAATGTCTGCTGCGTTCATTGTTCCCAAAAATCAAATCATACAACAAATTTGGTGGTTTTTGTATCTTAGGAAGTATAACATATTAAAGTCTATGTTACTATGTTTACTGGGATGATTGGAAATTTTACTCATTTTTATGTCGTTCGATGTATATGGATCTATAGGACCAGTGACCGTTGTGTCAGGCCCGTTTGAGGTGCCTATCACTTTGATGTATTCTCTTTTCCTAATCATAGAGTTTACCGTCGTAGTTGGTGGATGTTAGTTGGTGTCAAATATGTTTTTTCTTTTATTAATGTAATGATGTTGAACCCAATGATATCTTTTTTTTTTTTTTAAATTTTTAACTCCAAGGGGCTTCTGGGGGAGGGAGTCTGGGGGAGTCTGGAGTAAACTGGGTTGAAACTCACTCCATTGAGTTTTGAACCTGGGACCTCCCATAAGAGAGAGTGAGTCGGCGACCAGCTAAGCTCGACCGCTTCCTCAAACCCAATGATATCAATATAGTCAATTTTCCTTTAAAAACACTTACATTAATAACAATCTAATGTTATTATTATTATTATTATTATTATTATTATTATTATTATTATTATTATTATTATTATTATTATTATTATTATTATTATTATTATTATTATTATTATTATTATTATTATTATTATTATTATATTATCACATGTTGATTCATTTCCATAAAATTGTTAATAAGCCGATATTGATCTGTACAATCTCTATAAATGAAATTAGCAGTGTTGAAATTTCAATTCATCTAATATATGTGGTTGCAAAATATTGAATATGAAGTTTGTTTTTATTTAATATCATTACAACGTTTATTTAATATTACTCTTACTTCCTTACTTCTCAAATATAAAGGCCTGGAAACGAATGATGCTTCTTGGTACCATCAATGGTTGTAAAGTAAGCTTCTCGAACGCGCCAAACCCATTAGTAAGAACTGACTTAACCATCATAGTATAAGAATGTGCAAATCAATCTATATTATTCTGAAAAACTATTTGTTGTTAGAATTATTAAACAGTTCTTGCCACATATCTAATCATGATTAAGAAAAATATCCATGAATAATTAAAAATCTGAAATCTGGAATTCAATCTTCAAAGAATCCAAAAGAAGCTCGTGTGGAAGAAGACGCACGGGAATAAAAAAACTTGTATGGATGCTTGTGTTGAAAACCAATTGCTATTATAGGTCTCCGTTGAGCAGAATTATGATAAAGAAAGAACTCTAGTAATAATCAACAAAACTAAGACTGTAATTAAGTTATGATAACACTTGTTGCAAAGGGAAATATAGTAGAAGATGTATTCTTAAGTTCATTAAAAAAATTAATGAACTGAAAGTTTTTTAGAATACCATTGTTTCACTGAAGAAGAATTAATAGTTTTAGAGTTAAACAGTTAAGATTTTACTTTGTCAATAAAGAATAATTGTTGACGTATCTTAAACAGCAGTAAAAATGTACAAGTATATTATACCAGAATTAATTCTACATAACACTTTTTCACAATTCTTTACTCTGAAACATAATTTTCGAGCCAAAGAAGAGGATCATCAATAAATCACTAATGAAAAGTAAGTTCATACCAAGCCAAGTAAAAAATGGCATAAAATTATTTTAGTTTCCACGATACGACCAATAAGAAAAATAGTGGGTACTAACATTCTCAAAAACATATCTCCATCTAAAACTATATAGTTAATAGAGAGTAAGAGACATGTTTTTACAACAATGGTTGATAGTAAGATATGCCAATTGCCTAAACATTATGAGCATCAGACACGAAAGGAGTGGAATGTCCTAATAACCTATTTGTTAGGAGTGCTTACCACTTGATTGTTCGGTTAAGGTACCTACAATGGTTATACAATTATAATAAACATAATGTAAAATCCATTAGTAAGAACTGGCTTAACCAGCATAATATAAGAATGTGCAAATCAATTTATATTCTTGAATGAAAAACTATTTGTTGTTAGAGTTATTAAACAGATCTTGCCACATCTTTGATCATGAGCATTTAGTGATTGGGGAATAGTGTGGACTTATGTTATTGGTAAGAATAACATTCATAAGTAATTAAAAATCTGAAATATGAAATTTCAGATTTTATGTCACTAGTGAAAAGTAAGTTCATACCATGTCAAATAAAAATGGCAGAGAATAATTTGAGTTTCCCCGATACGACCAGTAAGAAAAATAGTGGATACTAACATTGTCCAAAAAAAATTCTCCATCTAAAACTATATAGTTAATAGATAGTAAGAGACATGCTTTTACAACTATGGTTGATAGTAAAATATGTCAACTGCTTAAACATTATGAGCATCAGACACGAAAGGAATGGAATGTTCTAACAACCCATTTGTTAGAGTGCTTACCACTTGATTGTTCAGTTAATGTAGACGATGTTTTTGCTCAGGGTCCACCTGCATGACAACGTCTGTCGAGAAAAACTCTGGCCTTGTAACATATTTTAGTTCAGATTCCACATTTTCGAGAGTCAAAAACTTTGCAGCTAGGTTTGGTCTTTGTTGCATTGCACAGACCAAAATGGATCAGTGGGATTCACATTTGTAGTGTCATCTGATAGACCATTACTCCCTCCGTCCCCAATTAAATGTCCCATTTTACTATATTGGGATGTCCTTATTTAAATGTCCCATACCTCATTTGGTAAAGTTTGTGTGGCTCAAAATCATTCTTACTTTATTCTTACTTTATTCCTACTTTATCAATTAATATCAACCACACAAACTCACTTTCCTTAAAATTCGTGCCACCCTCTTCCGGGACTTTTAAAAGGGGACGGAGGGAGTAATAATTACAGATCTCACGTAGTAGCCCAAGTAGAAAGTAAAAACAAATACACTTTTGACATCATACACACATGCTCGAATAATTGAAACAAAAGGCAAGCAAATGGCCCTGATTGATGCATAATTAAGATTAAAGTACAAAGCAGCTGAACCTTGATACCTAATTTTCTTTTGATCCTTGAGACTGTGTTGAAGTTTATTGTTTCCACGACGTGTGACAAACCAACATAACGAGTACTAATTAACTTCTTACTATATTTTCCACAACAATTTTATAACCTAAAAATGAAAATTAAGGCATGAATTAAGTCGTCTAACATAAACAAAAAACAAAAGATGAAACCAAGACTAGACAGACAGAAAAGATGAAATGTTCAGGTGCCGTGCCTAGTTGTGGCACCTGATTTCTTCCATGGTGACTCTACTAACCCAGGAAAAGCCAATAAATCGTCAAGATATGGATGCGTGTCATAGATGATATGCGTTTGTAAACCTGAATAATTAGTTGCATATATAATACAATGTCGACTAACTCGTATTCAACATTCGTATTTGGGAATTAATATTCATACCTGAATTGATGTATCCCACTAAAGAGATGTTCAATCAATTCCATGGATGCCTGGAGTTTCCATCGCTAGAAGTATGGAGTTATGTCGATGGAAGATGTTAAAGAAGTCGATCGAGATGGAAACGTCGAAAGAGATGTCAGGCAATATGGCTGTACGTGGAAATTGCACACTCATGGTGAAACTGCGCTCAGTTTTCTGTGTAATATGAAAGAAATGGATGAAGTGAATGAGTTTATTGCTGACAACCATCCAAATGAGCTTAAATAGCTTAGAAGCGAGAAGCGAGAAATTTAAATGGTTTAGGGGGATGATTGTGCTTTTAGGTATATAAGATATTATTAACACCCCAATTTTTTTAAAAAATTTTCTTAACTCTTAGATGAAAACATTATTATCAATTTAATTGAAAGTACTTCTATTATTAACATTTCATTTTCAAAAATGATGTTTGTACTCACTCATGTTTGTGAAAGTTTTTTTGTCTGTGAATTCCATTTACAGACAAAAGATATCTTATTTTGTCTTAATTTGCACAAACAAAATAAAACATAATTTGTCTGTAAACAAGATTCACAGACAAAGAAAATCCTTCACAGAGGTGAATATGAATCCGGAGCCTCTGACTTGCTTTAGAGCAAGGGAGAGTGCCTTGGACAGCCGTCCGATTGCAAATTCAACAAGAGTAGATCTTGGGGTCCACACTTTCCCTGATCTCGAGGTCGTCCTCATCATTGCCCGACCATTCGATGCGCAAGGCACCGGGCCTACCAACACTTTCATTTTTAACTCTTACAAATAAAGTAAGTTGTTGTTTTACAATTACGGAATTACCCTCCCTTCGACCCTTCCGGACCCACCAACACTTGTCAACCCTCTCCATCCAAACACCGCCCTCTTTCTCACTGACCATCTCCAAGCTAACCCTTGGAATCGGAGAGGATAATCACTATATAGCCGCTGAAAAATCCAGCGAAGGGAATGGCGACACTGGCTCGGTCCTCTAGAAGAGCCCTAGCAACCACTGTCTCCTCTTTTTTTCGAAACGAACGACATCAGCTCCGTCGCCCGCTGGCCACTGAAGCGCACGCGGCAATCAAGGATTCATCGCTAGATCGAATCAAGTGGGACTATAGAGGGCAGCGGAAGTTAATACCCCTGGGGCAGTGGGCTCCTAAGATAGCAGTGGACGCGTACGTAGCCCCAAATGCCGTACTCGCCGGTCAGGTAACCGTCTGGGACGGCGCATCTGTCTGGAATGGTGCCGTTCTCCGCGGGGATCTCAATAAGATCACCATTGGCTTCTGCTCTAATGTCCAGGAAAGATGTGTCGTTCACGCCGCTTGGTCATCACCCACGGGTCGGTAGACACCAATTTCACTCTTTTAATTATTTGCTAAAGTGTAGCCTGGCCTAACATTTTAGCTTGGAAATCGAATGTACACTTAGGTTGTTGCTAGAAATCAAACCAAAAAAGGTGCCATCAGCCATAGTCAAAACCTTTTAATTGACCAAGCTACCCTGAATTACATTTCTGTGGACAGAATCTCTATCCAACTTCCTGAAGGTTCTTCGTGTGTGTGAAGTAAATTTAGTTAAGTTGTTTATGTTACCAAGGAGCATCTTAGGCTTAAAATGAAACTTTTATACCTTGTAGAAGTCTTGTGGAATGCATCTTTCTAGGTCCTGACTCCCGAGACACTGACACTATGCTGTAGTGACTGCATTTTGTTTTGATAGAGAACTTAGATTAATGGAAATCCTAGGAGAATAGCTCAATACAATTACAGAAAACATTGAAACATTAAGATTATGTGTATTTTTATATTATACTACTACGTGGTATGCATTAATTCAGGGGGGTTGTCACTAGAAGGGGGAAAAGGAAAAGTGGAAAACATTGCAGTATCAAGTGATTAAGTAAGCTGAGATTTTTACGGAAAATGCTATTTTGATGTCTCAACTTTTCTTGATTCTAAAATATAGTCCCTCGTTGCCATTTTACGGAAAATGCTATTTTGATGTCTCAATTTGATTCAACAATTATATAAAAGATTGTCAATTCAGTTATCACATTCAAATAGTCCCATCATTTTTGAGAAGATAAAAGAAAAAATACACAAGCCTCTGGGAAATTGCAAAAGATGCCCAAGTCAAATGGCTCCATAATGATGGGTTGAGAGACTCAATTGACAACTCTTTAAATTAATGAGAAGCGTAACTACTTCAAATTGATACTGAGGGACACATTCCATAATTGAAAATAAGTGAGGGATCAAAACAGCAACTTCCCCTATTATATAATGTAAGTCTAGAGGGTCAAATATGCCCTCAAACTAACTTAAAAAGTGCAAATCACCCCTTATATAGGAGGCTCTGTCTGGCCGTCACCATTTGGGTCGGTTCCCAGTGGATTTTTTTGATGAAATTTTTTGAGCATCTTCTTCATTAAGTCTAGTTTATTCATACCAAATTTCAGCTACAAATTCAGTTTATTTATTCCCGGTTGTATTTTTATCTAAAAATTGGTATGGGTAAACTAGACTTAATGAAGAAGATTCTCAAAAAGTTTCATAAAAAAATTCCACCGAGAACCGCCCCAAATGGCGACGGCCGGATAAAGCCTCCTATATAAGGGGTGATTTGCACTTTTTAAGTTGGTTCGAGGGCCTATTTGACCCTTTAACCTATTATGTAACTTATTTTGGGAAGCGGGTTTCCTATTCATGGCTCAAAACAGGTGGACTTTCAATTTCTGATCACCACATTTCCTTTGAAGTGTACAACTATACACATGGCTCACCTCTTTACAAAAATTCCTCTTTTTCATTGTTCATCGTCACTCTATCAGGGTCTTGATCCATTGCTTACTTTCTTCCACATGGAAACTAAGTTTCTTCCTCGACTGAATAACAAGCCAACATATGTTCTTGTTATATTCTCTTTTATCTTTCAGAAGAGTCACATATTTGAGCTCACTTTTGAAAGGCAAAGCAATGCAAACAACATACTATTGGTGTGATTGGCATAACTCGTGCACGACCAATCTCTCATAACTCATGAACTTGGCATTGTTGTGAAAATGTCACTTAGCCCTGATTAGCATCCGTTTAAACACAAGCTTCTTTGGGTGTCTAAGAAATTTCCTGCATCGGTCCCTCTTAATACCAACTTATATCTCGTCTGGTGTCAAAAGTGTTTTTTCACCAATCAATGCGTTGTTTTGGGAAACTCAAGGTGCATTCTTCCAAGTCCCTTGTGTCTATAACAGTAAGGATTTGATAGTGTTTGGATGCTTTCATAAAGATGGACTGATAGAACCTTTTGAGAATCATTTTGGGGGGGAGTAGGGATGAAGGGTGTTCCTCTTCTTGGGTCCAAGTAGATAGTAACCAACTTGGATGTATAATCAATCATACCCCCTCCGTCCCCTATAACTTTGCCAAAGGTGACTACATGTAGAATAATAAGATAAAAACCGTGTCATTGAGGTTTGTGCAGATGAGATAGAATTAACAATTATTACAAATTCTTTATTTATAAGGGAAATTGACAAAGTTAGTGGGGCCATCAAAAAAGGAAAATTGTCAAGGTGATAAGGGATGGAGGGAGTGTTTTTTTGTTATCATCTTCCCCTGCATCACGAGAATGAATGAATGACGTTGACTATCAATCTTCTGGGTTTCAAGGGATAAACATGGTTTTTTCTAGTTGTAGTTTGCTCTTTGAGTACAGCAGAGTTCTGTTCATACTCTAACAATGTCTTTTTTATGACCCCCCCAAATGATACTGGGTTTTCTTTCCAGCTCAGCATCAACAACTTTTCCCTTGTAGTTTTGTGTTTGTTTATAATGTTTAATTTGTTTGTGACCAATACAATTTCTCCTGAGCATCAATCGACAGACTGAAGAGTTGTTTTTCACAGTTTTGAGTTGTGTGTCAGTGTTTGCAATGTGTAGACTTGCAATTTATCATTTGAATGGTTAAACAGTTGAAGTTTTGTAATCATTTGAATTTTCTGAAACTGCACTGTAATTTCCAGCTGATTTTGAGATGTACTTAATAATTTAATATATATTTAATAAATTATAGAAATAAAATCTAATAAAAATGGCAGGGTTAATTTTCCTTTCCTTCCTGCCATTTCAGCAAAAAAGAACTACCCTACTTTTATTTATTTACATGATCAGCCTATGAACATTTCAACCAGCACAGTAAAATAAAATTGTAGACTAGTAATATTTGGTACAGTATCTGGCAGAAAATATATTTCTGCCAAATCGATACACAGTATCATTTGCCTATTTTGAAAAAAGGAATCTCTTTCTTGTGAAACTTCCCAGGGCTTCCGGCAGACACATCTATCGAAAGGTATGTGACAATTGGTGCATGCAGCCTCTTGAGATCCTGCACGATTGAGCCAGAGTGCATCATTGGCCAGCACTCCATACTTATGGAAGGTTCTTTGGTGGAGACCCATTCAATCCTTGAAGCAGGATCTGTTGTTCCTCCGGGAAGAAGAATCCCAACTGGTGAGCTTTGGGCCGGGAATCCAGCAAGGTTCGTCCGCACTCTGACTCACGAGGAGACTTTAGAGATTCCTAAGCTAGCCGTGGCGATAAATGATCTAAGCAAGAACTATTTCTCAGAGTTCCTACCCTACTCAACAGTGTATTTGGAAGTTGAGAAGATGAAGAAGTCATTAGGAATCTCAATCTGACGTTTCTCGTCACTGGCTCAACTGCTCAAGTCCTGACGCTTTAGATTCTTCTCTTGATTCTCTTTTTTCTTTTTCTACAAAGAAAAATAATCAAACACGGGTTCTCTTTGGAATTGTATGCTTTATGTTGTATGTCTATACTCTGTATACATAATGTGTGCATTGCCTCTTTAAAAAGGGCGGGATCTCCTGCTATCATTCTGCGGATTTTAGAACTTGACCTTCACCTTAGGAAGGGAAAATGAATTTGATGTTGCTTGCATGCATATGATTTTTGGCTTATTGCATGTGACTATGTGAGGGTATCTTGTTTTTGTTTTAAACTTGAATTTTGTTATGCATTTATGAGCACTCATCTTGCGCTAGTATTGGACTCGGTTCGGGCCACCCGTCCCGGGAACCGGCCCGGTACTGTAGGGGCCCGGCCCGGCCTGGGAACCGGGTACCGGTTCCGGGTCTAGGCCCGGTTTTAGGGTGTAACCGGGGGTGGTCCCGGGATAGGTGAAATGCGAACCGGCCTGGCCGATTCCGGACCGGTTCAGGCCTTTTTATTCCGAAGGGCCGCCACGTTCATATCCCAAACATAGGCCGGTTTTGTAGAAGTAATTTTCCCGGTCTCCGTTCTAGGAAGCCATGCATCCGCCCAGACTTGGACATCAATACAACGTTCTTCTTGTATTAATCTACAATTAATAATTGAAACAGGGTCTATTGAAGAATAAAAATAACCATTTCAAGTAAAATAAGAAATATAAAAATTCAAATTACGAGTATTAACTGCTCCGTACTACCGTTTAAAAAAAAACTACTCCGTACTATGCGCACTAAAAAAAACTACGCACATTTGGTCTCTGTTTTTTGTTTTGTTAGGTATCAATCAACTTGTATACTCCATATCAAACATTTAACTTTTGATTTCACATGTTTAATTGTAATGATATGAAAAAGGTAATGTTGAAATTACTTTTTAAACTATATTGGTTGAAGTTATTGTAGAGTCATTTCAACTATTTTTTCATATATTTTTTCTTTAAATTATTAATAAAATATATTTTAAATATAAAAATTTCATAAGTTGGGAGAATCAGTTTTGTCAAAAAAAAAGTTAGCACAATCAGCCAATGCATTAACCTCAATCGAAATTTTATAAATTTCAGTAGAATCAGTTAATGCAGTCAATTTGGGCATTAGCAAACGGACTCTCCATATTAAGTTGTCAAGATTCATGAACAAAAGTGATGAAGTATGTATTAGCCATTTAGCCCCATTGGGAATATATATTTACTTTCTCCTTTTCGAAGAATTTGTAGTATTACTTATTAGTCAATGCAATTTTATGTTATTACTGATTAGCATATCAAAATTTATTATATTTTAATCTGAATTTCACTATTTTTATATAACCTTGAATGTAATTTTAAATACTCCGTGTGTGAACTTTGACTAATTTAACTATCGGCACAAATAGTTTAACTTATTGTGAGTGAATGTTGAAATTTGTTAATTGCAATTCAATTTGCGATCAAGAAAGTACTAAACTTCTGAATAAGTGACGAACAAAACAAAACCAGTAAACTCAGAAAGGAAAGTTGCGCTAGTAGAACTCAGTAGAAGATAAACTACCTACTATGAGGGCATCCACATTGTTTAGATTATTTAGAGTTTAATTGGATGATGTGTAAGATTATTTTAAAGATTATCATTGTGAGTGAGGGATTATTTAGAGAGATTATTGAAAAAGATAATCCGGTATCAGGATTTGAATTCCGGATTATTTTAGGTTGTAGTTAAATTTCATTTAATGCATGGTCTAGAAAAACTAATTATTTGAATATCATGGTTGATGGAGAATTTTAAGATTTGCGATTATTTAAAATTTATTTAATAAATATGATGTGTCATAGAAAAATCATTTATTTTAACATCATGAATGGAGACGCTCTGAGCTCGAGTCGAAAAGAAAGAAAATTGATTATCAATTCATCGTTTACCTTGAAAAAACCCCTTTGACGGAAAAACATGTAATATTTGTGGACGTTGTTTATGAATTACGAAGTTTAAGAACACCGATCTTCATATATTTAAGGGAAAACTGTCAAATAGGTCCTCGAATTTTCATAAAAAGATCAATTAAGTCCTTCTATAGGAGATTCTGTCAGGCCGTCGCGATCTTCATATATTTAAGGAAAAACTGTCAAATAGGTCCTCGAACTTTCATAAAAAGATCAATTAAGTTCTTCTATAGGAGATTCTGTCAGGCCGTCGCGATTTGGGGCAGTTCCCGGTGGAATTTTTTGATGAAATGTTTTGAGCATCTTATTCACCAAGTCTAGTTTACTCATACCAAATTTCAGCTAAAAATTCAATCGAGAACACATTCAAATTAATTCTTGAAGATAACTGCACATTTTTGCGTTCTCGAATTAATTTTTAGCTGAAATTTGGTATGAGTAAACTAGACTTAATGAATAAGATACTCAAAAAATTTCATCAAAAAATTCCACCGGGAACCGCCCCAAATTGCGACGACTGGACAAAGTCTCCTATAGAAGGACTGAATTGACTTTTTTATGAAAGTTCGAGGACCTATTTGACAGTTTTCCCTATATTTAAAGTTTTTAATATTTTAATACTTACTCCCTACGTCCCGATTTTGTTTTGCAAAGTCAATATTTTTTGGTCAACCAATATTAAAAGTCAATGCTACTTATTGATAATTAATTAAATTTTTAATAATTAAAATTTACACATCACGAAACTACATTTAAATCTCTTCAAAGTTGTAAACTCTAAATTAGAATATAATTAAAAATTGACATTCTAATTAAGCGAATGAAATGAAACTGTTTGACAAAAAAGTCAAATTTACAAATAAATTCTAGACGAAGATAATACTTTTTTTTATGATAAAGATAGTACTTCTTAATAATTAAATTTACATTTTTAGAAATTATAACAAAATTTGTATGAAATTGCAAATTCTATTACGGAGTAGAATGTAAGGAAAAATTAATATTTCAATTAAATAATTAAATAAATAAAATGAAACTTATTGAGAAAAAAAGTGATTTTACCAATTACGGAGTATTTGAGATGGTGGTAGTTTAGAGAGAGAAACCCGCAATATTTGGAAACATGTTCGTCGCCATTGACATGGCTGAATGCTATCGCAGAATCCAGCGTCCATATAATTCTCATGAAATTCTGACAAACGAATTCTTCTGTTTAGTTCGTTTTAGATTTAGAGAGAGAGGAGGACAACTTTCATGTCTCAATTCCTCTCCCTTCGTTTCCACCCTTAAGCTATTGGCCTCTTTCCCCGTACGGAACCTTCCTTTTCCCGGGAAATTAATCTTCTGCCGATATTTCCCGGGAATCCACCGATCTCCCCTCAACAATGAGAACGAGTCAAGGTGTAGGATCTCCGTCGAGGAGAAGCATGTCCATGTCGGCGGCGAGCTCGCCGTCCTATGCCCGAAGGAGATCCTTAGCAGCTGACAATTCGGGAGGAGGAACACCGTTAGACTCCTCTTCCCGCAAGTCTCTTTCCTCGTCTCGCTCAATGTTAGCCTTCTTCTTCCCATTCCCTTGATATGTACTGCATCATTGTAACGGCTTATTTTGCATGCTCTATTTATATTTCTTCTTTGATCCGAGGTTCGGTTGCATAGACATTGCTTTAAATTAATTGAATTTTTCTTACATTGATTGAAAAATGAGGTTGAGAAAATATAGATTTGAGTCATACATGCTCAGACTGCAAATAACTAATTGCAGATTTTTATGATGTTTGATGTGGCAAAACCTCCAAAGTTTTGCATCCATATATGTAGCTTTTCAAATGATGTTCCTAAAATGATTGCATTCCTAGTATATCATACTCCTCCATCCCAATTTATTTGAGGTTTTGGCAACTTTTACACATTCGAAGGTTCCACTTCCACACACAAGGACACTGCATCCGTTTTTATGACTTTTTTGTAATCTGTCCTACAAGAGTAATACTTTTAGAAGCCATTATTTTTTCATCACATCCTCGCATTTTCTTTTTCTGGAGCTGATTAATTATTTTTCATAACATGCTCTACGAAACTTTCTGTTCTTTATTAGGTGTAGTTTTTTCTGTTTGAAACAACTAGCAGTAGTTATAAATATTGTTATTACCACTACTTATCTTGAAAAGTTATCTCATTTTGTTTAAAGAGATCAAATAAGGATAGTTTAGCAAGGAAAGAGAAAGTGATAATCCCAAATTCAAAAGGTTCAATTATTTTGGGGCTGAAATTAGAAGCCAAAGCGTCAAATAATTAGGGAGTGACAGAGTATTTCTTAATATTTTCTTCTCTTTCGATGCATGAGTTGAAACCATTGCTTTTTTATAATGAATTTGAGATCCTTGTAACTGTTCCATTTTGAGATTGAACCCATACCAGAACCAAGGTAGTTAGATGGGTGCCCCTCCAGTGAAGATCCCTTAAATAATAAATTGAAACATCACTTTGATTCATTTATTTACACCTGAGTGAGAGGATGGGATAACTGCTTCTTCACATCTTCTATCCACCATTTTCCTTTCACTTTTTGGCTTAGATTGTATTTTGCTAATTGTTAATAATTTCTCTAATTCCCTCTGGGGATAAAATACTATGCTTTTACTGTAAGTTCAGGGACACCATGGACATATGTTGGTTTTGTTTTTCTGATTAATTAAATAAGAACATAGATGTCCCTAACCACTTTTCACTTTCCATACTAGAAAAGCACCATTATGGTCTTTTTTTTGAGTGGCTATATAGTTTTTTAAGTTCATCAATTTATTATGCCACCAATCTGGAGCAGGGGACTGACAGGAGAGAGGACGGTGAAGAGATTGCGTCTGTCAAAAGCTCTCACAGTACCTGAAACAACAACAATATATGAGGCTTGCCGACGTATGGCTGCTCGCAGAGTTGATGCTTTATTGTTGACTGACTCTAATGCATTGCTATGTGGGATCATGACAGACAAGGTTTGACTTTAATAATGTCTCATTCTTCTAAACAAAATAATGAACCAAGCAGAACAAGTGTGTTATTTAAATGTCTGATGGCTCTTCATGGAGTCTTGAACATAGATGCCTTCTTTTAACTATATGCATTTTGTCTTTTTTTTGTTCATACGAATGAAGGATATCGCGATAAGAGTAATTGCTCGTGAAATTAATATTCAAGAAACACCGGTTTCGAAGGTGATGACAAGAAACCCGGTCTTCGTGCTATCCGACACTCTTGCCGTTGAAGCCCTGCAGAAAA